AAAGGAGCGTAAGACAGGGAGCTCCCATCTCAAACAAACAGGATCAAGAAAATATTTCAAAGTTACCATTACATTTACAAATCAAACACTCCTGCTTTTCAACTTTGAGTCCATGAATGTCTTCCTGCTGTCACCACTATAAATACTGGAAGTATTAACCATATTACCTTTATTATTTGTAGCTGAACCCCTTCGTCTGTTTGAGGGCCTTGAAAACAGCCACATATTGTCTCAATAATTCTATCAATTAATTTTTTGCCTGGCGCTGTACTGTCTGGAGCATTCCCTGTCAAGTGCCCATAAGCTATAAGTTTCTGGAAAGAAGAAAAAAACCCACAAAAATAAGAGCTTAAAAAATAAGTCAGGTTTTCGTCATAATAAAGAAATTCACTTCATAGCTCTAACTTGCACAGAATAATTAAAACAGTACATTTTACCCCAAGTCTCATAAAACATCAAGGATTTATTTTTTTTAAAAATGTCCTCCAGATTTATTCAATTTTCACTCAGCAACCGCAATACAAAGTTTGTCAGCAAGCTTAACATTAAGGCTTTTGTTCATCAGTTAACAATGTTTTAAAACAAACATGATTCTCAAAACTAACTCATATCACACAAGTCTTCGTATATAGTCAACACACAAATGTTTTTAATACCATATAAACCAGCTGCAGATGTTTTCTATCTAAGCTACTAGCTAGTCTTCTGGTTTTAACTATTATCCCTTTCTCTCTCTAGATCTTCAATACTTTGAAATGGAATTTACCACAAAATTAACAAAATCCTCTTCCAAACGCTTCAGACATAAGAGTATTTGTAAATCTCCACGGCCTGCCAACCTAAAAATACACAGAGTAGCAAGGCTTCACAGTGCAACAGCATGCCAGGCATGCATGTGCCCGTCAACGTAAATCTATCAACTGAGTTCACTGTTGGGCTACTAAGGAGAAGCGAATGGCTGAATTCCATGCTGTAGAATTTGTTCTGAAAACATTATAGGAGCCTCTGAATTTTGAGAGGCTAAATATCTCAAATTGTAATTATTTTACTGCAATTATAAATAGCATTAAATGAATTTAATAATGCTATACCTGCTGTGTTAGTTCAACACACATATACACATGAAAACAGGTAGTTGTACACTAACATAACAAAACTGATCCAAACTTGTAACTCTGGTAATGCATATATACACAAATAAACAAATACATGCACTACATTAACACATAAGACACACACTCACCTTTTGTGAGAAATATTCAATTTAGTTGTGTGTGCAACAAAGTAAAATAATAGAAAAACAATGACATTACTTGTAACATACAACTGTACTTCCCTTCCAAACTACCAGAATTTTATAGCTGACAGTTAAAGCTCATCTTCATACAGACCTGTAAACAATCTAGAGATGTGCTGACGATCCTGGGGCACTTTGACTGGCATGCCAGTTCAAATGGTAGGAAGTATTTGTCTGCTTCAATGAAGCTTGTCTTTGATTTCACAGGTGGAAGAGTGCTTGAACCAGGCTTTGCTTCTCCATGAGGGGGACTAAACAGAACAATTGCATTAGAATGCTGTAAGTGATCACACAGATAAGTTCTCACCACCGCAATGTTTATGAATGAAATAAAATATCAATAAAATTAACATTAGGAAAGAGTAACTTCTATGAAGTTAACACAACAGTAATATGGCCATATAAATATTCTTAACAGCTTTTATACTTCATCTGTCTCCTTTATGGACCAGGCAAATTGACCCATTTGCACACTAAGAGGATATTCAGTGGTCCCTGCTGGTTTGAAGGCATAAAGACTTGCTTCCTCTGCAAACAGGAAAAGATTCCCCTTGGTTGGTGAAGGCAGAAGGGAAGAAGGGAAATCTATTCAGTATCATTGCCACATTAAATGATAATTCTGAGAGAAGCCTGGTCTGTTACTACTACAACAGATAAAAATACAACTTGCCAAAAAATGAACTACTCAACTACTGTATTACGATACAAGTTTGGTTCAGTACTTTAGAGATAAAGTACATCTGTTTTGGAGATTAAATCATACCTCAACTTCAATCCTGAACATACTCAGGGGAAAAAAAACAACCAACCAAACAAAAAACCACCAAAAATAACCCCAAAACTTTGCCCTATCAGTGCTTCAGATGACACCACAGAACGTAAAAGTTCAGTGGTTAGCAATATATCTCACTTGGGCAAAATTTGAGAAAATTATTAGCTATTGAAGTCTTACTGCTTACAGTCCCTTTAGAAAGGGCATGCTCATTAATACTTAGCTAAAAAGGACAATTAAGAATGGGTCATTTTTCACTAGTTTGTGTGCATCAACGCAATCTGCCTTTCACTTCAAGCAAAAAGTTCGGATTTTTCATTTCACGGAATAGCTCATCGCCTTTACATAAACCATTCCTGACCTTTTTCATGCATAAATACGTACCTTTACATAAAAGGTAAACTACACTCTTTTACACAGACTTAGTAAGTGTCATAAAAAAAGAGCATAACTTCATATTCTGTAGTGAAGGATTACAAAATTCTTGCCATAATTCAAATAGAACTTTACAAAACAACTAATTTCAAATCCAGGCCTCATGCATCTGTCGCAAAGTAAATCAGATGCTTCAAGGAATGCAGATGGTAGAAAACACACATTTTTCATGTTGCTAAAGTAGAAGAATGAACTGCTAAGCATTTATTATAAATCCAAAGAATGAATGCATTCCCATGAAGAGCGCCTTAATGTAACCAATATGATAAATTATTAATTTCAGTTTTTCAAGGAGCAAGCTGGATTGTCCTTGAGAAGGTATTTGGTACTGCATTCAAACAGTCCTCCTTATTTAGGCTGCTTAAAAAAAGGCACCTAAATTTTAAGTATTAATAATGAGTAATTAGTACTAAGATTCTACTTTCTACTAAATAACTTTTATTTTGAAAGTTTAAGGATTTACCCCTACATATTTTTTTCCTGAAGAAGAGCAGAGGTTTGCTTTTCTGTTGGATGCATAACTTTATTTATTGCCCAATATTGTTTAGCTGGAAACAGAGCTGTTTTGGACAAAATCTAAATCAGATAAATTGCAGAGGAAGTACATGATTCTTCTACATTCTTAAGCCTCTCTGAAATTCCTGTAAAAGCTCTTCTCTGAGGAATGGAAGGGTGGTATCTGTTGCTCATGTCTTATGACAAGACTGTTCTTCGTCTGGTGATTATGTCTACTGAAATCATTAAAATTAGGTTAAAAGAACATTCCAGAAATAAAAACAGAATTTTCCAGAAACAAGGAGCAGGCCATGATGAGATTCTGAAAATTAAGAGCCCGTGCCACAACAAGCTACTGCAGAAGCCTGAAGCTTCTCTTAATTGAAAGCTATTTAAAAATGCCCATAATAATAAACATGGAAAATTATACTCCATTTGCCTCTGGAGAAATTAACTCAATAAGGTCATCACTCTGCTGATGATGGACGGGAAGGCGATAGCAGGGAGAGGGGACAAGAGAAACCCAAAAGGTCTTTTCTTCTTAATGTCAGTGAAGAAATTACTTCAGCTGTTTTTTCCCAGCAGATCGTGAGACCAGAAACTGTCCCCAACAAAACTTTCTTCCACCAAGAGATGTACTAAGCCTGAGGATTATGAAATATGCTGATATTCATGTATTAGCCACAGGCAAGATAACATGTGATATCGTAACTGTGAGACCAGTTTTCCTGAACAGGGACTGGAAAAATTTATAGAATTATCATTAGAAGTCCCTTGTTAGGATATTCAAATCTTAATTACAGAAAGAGGAAGCTGAAAATAATTGGATAAACTAAGAGGTTTCTCTGTTCTAAGGCCTAGAAAAATAGTATCTTCTACATCATCTAAAAAAATTGACTCTACAGTAAGAATAGGGCAAATCCATTCACAGTTTCCAAGGCCAGGAATGACTTCATAGCAGCAAAAGTCTACTGTGAAAATAAAGATGGTATTGAAGACATAAAAATCTATTCAGAAAATGTACATAGGCAGGTTAGACATACACACTATACTGAAAACACCCACCACTTCAGATATTAATGGGCCAGAATTTAAGTTTCCAAAGTTCAGAAATGGCTGAACCATACTTTTATAAATCATTATAATTCAGTGCTCTCATTAGTTTTAGCATGGTATTTAACTACAGGATCAGATACTACTTCTCCTTATGCAGTGCCCAGAACAAATATTCCTCACTGATACTTTAAGCATTTTTTTCTTTGCATGCTTCACAACGTGGATTTCTGCTTTACTCATACTACTTTAAGTAAGTAAAATCTATTCTAAAACCACATTATTACTTTCTGTCTGAGACTGTCTTGTGGTGCTTGGCGCAACATTTTCTGAACAGTACACAAATATTAAATTTATTTGTACAACCTTACTATGAGCTGATAGTATTGACTTTATTTTGACGGTTGAAACTGAAGCACAGTGACTCAGATGTATCCACTAATTTCTAAATGCCCAATCTGATAAGCTGCAAGACTAAATTTTTCAGCATACATTATATATTAAATTGTCCTTTACATCTTCTGGAAGTTCCCACTGGCTTCCTTTCCAGCTAGAAGTGCTTACATTTTTCAGCTCAAAACTTGTAGTTTTTGGCTCAAATACCCAGGAGATGAAGCAGAAATCATCAGCAGCGAATTTGGACAGCTGTGGTTTAAATGATTTGCCTAAACCAGAAATTCAGTTACAGGGCAGAACACAGGTCCTCAAGCAGCACTCATCAGCTTAAGCCATAATAACACTTTCATCATCAGTTTCACCCACTGAGCCGATGCTTTCAACAAGTGGTATAAACAGTCTTCACCACACAGGCCTGACTCACAGTTAGTAACATACATTGAATGAGGAAGAAGTTCCTGTGGAACACATAATTAAATACTAATAATGGATTCCACAGTTTCACAATACTTGAAAATTTACTTGTTGAAAGCAGAAGAGTACTGAATATCAATTTTGGCTTTTACCTTCACTTGTAGAGGAACTGCCTCCAAAAATCTACACCTGTTCTCTAACAAGGTCCTTTCCAGACACTGTTTTCAAATCACATTGGTTTTCTCTACCCATTCCCACTTCCTCACCCCAACCTCCTCCCCTTGCTCACTAACAGTTCAAGTCTCTTATTTGCATTCCAGGCTCTTCCTCCTCCTCTGAACTCACTTCAAGAACCTTTTAAGCTCATGCCCCTCCACCAACACTTTCTCTCTGTGCCACCCACAAAGACCTTTTGTAACCTTGATCCCCATTCCTACCCTCCCTGGCCAGACAGTGCCAAGCCTGCTCCCTCCAAGCCATGTTCCGCCTTTACTCCCAAGCCCTGTGCCTTGCACTGGAGCAGCCGGTTACAGAAGCAGCACTTTTAGCACATTTCCAGGTACCGCCAACCTTATAAAATACATTGAAAAGGCTTTTCAGAGAGGGCCCATACTCCCAAATGCAGAATAAGTATGGTACGCATTTTACAAAGTTAAAAGAACTCTCACTCAATACAACGAACTATCACATACCTTTGCTTTTCTGTTTCAGCCTTTATTTCCTCTGTAAAATGAAACAAAGGCATAGTTATGGACATAGTATCATAACCACGCACACAAAATTAAATAACTGAAAATGACTGGAAAGCAAAACTATTTAGGCAAACATTTGAAACCAGGATTACTTTAAAACAGAAAATACGTGTTTATAAGCAGTTTCATAAAAGCTTCTACTCTTCACCTGCATTGGTTGCAAACTGTATCAACATTACTTTACAAATCTATATTCGAAACTTAATACTTAAATTTGTACCCAGTCATGCCAGCTAAACACCACATCCCTAGAATGTTTCTGACAAGACATTGGCAAGCTCTTTTCACAGCTCATGTATATAGAAGTAACAAGGAAAATGCAAATATTATTAAAACTATTAATCTATCCATAAAGGCTATATTGCTTGTTCAATGCAGATTACACAGAAAAACAATAAAGAAACCACCACTGCCGATTCTTACATGAAACCTTGACAACTAACAATTATCTTTGGTTTTAAACAGTTTTAGACACCACAGTAATGACTATGGGGAGGAAAAAAAGTCTCTAGCACCTCAATTTCATACTACTTTAAAATGTATTAAAACAGAAGGGCTAATAGTTTAATGCTATTGACAAGACACTCTAAGTAACTTTTTACAACACATTCTAAAAGTAATTTTAAATTACTGAAATTAATTTCGGGAAACATCTTCCATTTCAAGAGTACTTCCATCTGTATTCTCTAGTTACTTAGCACATAACATATTTAGCACATTTAAATCATAGGAAATTCCATAAAGACTAGGATTTCCAATGCTTGAAATAAAATGTACAGGATCAAGTATGAATATACACAGGTTTTAAGAAATTATCTCAGGAAATTATTCTAACGTCAAGTCCTGCTCAAACATCCAAAACCACAATCAACTAAACCCAACGCTTTGTCTATGTCCTATCCTTCATTTACCATTTCACACAGTCACACTGATTCACATACATAACACAGGTTCCTAAGTTTGATTTTTATCACAGATCACCAGTATAAAATATGTTTACTTTCTCAACATCAAGAAAAGCAAACATAAGAAGTGCAAGTCAACCTAAAATCTAAGTCTCATATGACTGATGCTCCTGTTTACCCCCAGTAAAACCTAGAGGTTAGCAGGTCAGTGGTTCATCTGAGAAACAGCTAGTCCAAAAGTAGTTCAGATCTGTGTTACCCAAGACTAGACAAAAGCATGACAATCATTCCATATTCCAGATATTCAATATTCCTGAACTAGTATCAGCAACAAGCCTTAGAGTCAGCAATGTTTCAGGAAAGTGTGTGCCTTCCTACCAGGTTATGATGCTTGATCCATTTACTCACTTGAAGACAAACACCTGACTAACAGGAAAGAGAAAAAACTCTCTTCCTCCCTTCCAGCATCTTCACACCTTTCATTATTTTACCTCCCACCTTAGTGTTCACACCCAGGAACTCCTCCCTGAGATGCTCTGAAGTCTGTCCAACAAGCAACATTATCAACCCACAGATACAACTGCAGAATGGTTTCTGAATTTGGAGTTCCCAACTAAAGCAACAAAACTGAGCAGATTCTCTCCCAACACCCAACCATTCTGAACACAGAAGAAAACATAGTAGTCAACAGAAACCAGGTGAATCTTAATGCTCTGCTTGGATAGTAATCTAATTAATAATGGCAATGAAATATTAACAAACTTTTCCTTAAAATGACACAAGGTGTTAAGAGTAGTGTCATTAAAAAGGTGGGGGGCACAAAAGTAGAAATCATGTCTTACTGAACTTGAATTAATTTGAGTGACTAAAGAGAGTAACACTACCACTCCTTTAAACTTTTCTTTTTTGTATTAAGCTCTTGTATAAAATGATCAACACACAAATTCTATGATCTATAGATCTTCTATAGAAAACAAAAGTTCGAGAAACTTTCTTTTCTTAAAAGAGAGAAGTGGTAGAAGGAAAAAAAGCAATGAGAGGAAAAATAAAAACAGAAAGGCTGAGTCATTTAAAAAGGATAAATGAAATTAAAAAAAAAAAAAAAAGGCAACCTCACAAGAAATCAAGCGCTCTTCATCCTGTTCCAAAAACACCAGAATGTGAAGCTCTGCTTCATGTCCAATTCTGGTTGCCCTTTTGAGCTCACACCGCGCCTCTGGAACGCTAAACCCCTTAGACTAAGTGCTTGCCCATAGGGAAGTGGCAAATTACGGTGGAACTTGTTCATTTTCCAGAATAGAAGCAGTTATGATTATTGAATTAGTGTGAAAATTGGCTAAGGAAGTACAAGTAAGCCAGTTCTCAGCTCCCCACCCTCTCCCTTTCCCCATGAACAACAGTATTTTTCCAGTAAAAGACAGCACATGTCCGAAGCACAAATATTCTTCCAGCACTATTTAAGGCAGATATGACAGCAGGTGAGTGTTCAGGCATGCTAGTCAGCTTTCCAAGTTCCAAAACAGTGGCTAAACTGCATGCTTAACTAAATTTCTTCAGCTGAAAGCACTGCATGAACAAAGACAGACCCAGGCAAACAGACAAACCTAAAATAACATTCAGGAAAAAAAAAAGATCAGAAACAGCAGTTTCGGTTTGCACTAATTCATTTTATTCCTGAACTAAAAGAATGTCTCAAACCCAGCTAGCTGTCATCCTGGCACTACATCAGATTATCTCTGAATTTCTTCTCTGCCTTGTAAACTCTAACAGTACTTGCAAAGATTACCAAGGTAATAATAACAACAAAAAAAAAATCCTATCAGAGCTGCTTAGAGCCTTCATTGTGATGTTCTAATCAATTATCACTATTCTTTCTTAAAATACTACAAGAGACTGTCTTCAGAATAGGTCGCAACAATTCACATCAGAAAATAGACTTTTCTGTCATTGAAGGAAGTATACTGCAGTTACAAGGAAAGAGCTTATGCAAGTGTCAATCTAATTACACATTACTACCATTTCGAGCAGCACTGCATCAGCCTATTAATGTGAAAGTATGGACTTTATAACCTTTGTTAAATAAAAAGAAAGGTTCTCACAGTGGCCAACATAAATTATTTTAGGAGACTAAAACACTTTAAATGGCAAATAAACATATGAAATGATACCATTACTACAAATGAGGTAGCAGACTTAAACCCCTGAGAACAGAGAAAACCTATTTCCTTCACTGTCTGATTGCTCCCTCTGCTCTCCACACCAAAACACAAGTTAATCACAGTACACTTTCATGGTCATGTAACAACATCCAGTAGGAAGCATACAAAAATTCAAGAAGCATCATCAGCAGAAAAATATATTATCATAAAGGCAACTAACAATTCTCACACTGCATAAACAATCTCTTAAAGACAGATGAATCAAAACACTGACTGACATATTTTTTCAAATGAGAAAAAGTAATCCCAGCAAAACTAAAGATTGGCTAGAGAAGGGAAATGAAACCAGGCTTGAAAACATTGGCTGCTTTCTTGTTTTGCTCTTCCCCTTTCCAAGACACACACCCAAAACCACAAAGGAGAGGATCCAAGAGCTGAAAAGCTTATCATCTCAGCATCACCACTCAAGGAAGAGTAAGAGAAGACATAAGATGCTGGAAGAGGGCAAGAAGACTGGAGAAATGGACTACAGCTTCCAGAGTCTTTCTCTGCATTATCTGGGATGTAAACATAGAATTACTATGGAAAATAGCTCAAATTATTTTGTGGCATTGAAAGGATGATGTATCCTAAAATGGAACTAACTGGAATACAAACAATATTTAGCAAATACATTTTGCAGGAATAACAAAGTCAGTCCCTCCCGAACTCTAACTTTCATACACAGCTCTAGAGAATTAATGGAATTATATGTGGCTTTTCTACACAGAAGCTAGAGCTGATCAAAGAGATGCGTTATTTTATAGATTTATAATGGCATGCATCAACTGTTTCACAAAATACGTAATGAGTCATGTACATGGTTCCAATATAATTTTCCATTTCATCTATGCTTGTACAGACCACCATCATTTCAAATAAATCTCTGAAAAGGTCTAAGACCTTTTACACAGGTGTACTGAGTTTCGCTGGGATAGAGTTTATTTCCTTCGTAGTAGCTTGTAGGGCACTGTGTTCTGGATTTGTGCTAGAAACAGTGTGGATAACAGAGGGACGTTTCAGCTACAGCTGAACAGTGCTCACTCAGCATCAAGGCCTTTTCTGCTCCTCACCCCACTTCACTAGCGAGCAGGCTGGGGGTGTACAAAGAGTTGGGAGGGGACACAGCTGGGACAGCTGACCCCAACTGACCAAAGGAATATTCCAGACCGTATGACGTCATGCGCAGCATATAAAGCTGGGAGCAGGGTGGGGAGAGGGGACTTTACCTGCCATTGCTTGAGGACTGGCTGGGCATCAGTCACCTGGTTATAAGCTGTTGCTCTTTTTGCATCACTTGTGTTTCCTGGTTTTGTTTTCCTTTGTTCTTGCCTCCCTCCCCTGTCATGCCTTCCCCTCCCCCCCCTTATTAAACTGTCTTTATCTCAACACAAAGTTTTTGCACTTTTACCCTTTCAATTCTCTCCCCAATACCAGCCACTGAGTGGCTGTGTGTGGCTTAGCTGCTGGCCAGAGGTAAACCACCACAATAGGTATCTGTAATTCCATTCTCCCCTCTCCAACTTTAATTCACCATTTCAGCATATCATTTGAACACTTTTCCTTACACTCTTTAGACTGCTCGCAGTTTCTACAACAAAAAAAAAAAACCAAACTAGTTTCTGGTTTTCTTTTTCTCTCTTTAACACTTAACAACCAGCTTATCTCATTTGCAACTATAAATTTAACAACTCACTCTATAATGACAAACCCTAAGCACCAATGTCAAAATTGGCCAAGTAGGTCAAGCAGGTGTTGCAGACAATACTGTCTTAAGTGGTCTATAATGCTGATCAAACTCCAACTTAGAATTAATTCACCGTTTGCCCAACTAATCCGATTCAAAGGAAGATTTAAACC